TCTCCACTTGCCTGATCTAAAATGTATGGGCTTTTAAAATTATATTTGAGCCATGCAGATGTACTCTTCTTCCATTAGTGACAATTGCACAGGTATACTTTTGACCAAACTACATTTAGATCTAGGAGCAAATTTTATAAACTGACCCCAAATTTCTTTAGAATAGGGGATTATCTGCAGCACTTTCCAGTGTGAATAGTCACCTGCACATTACTAATAAATATATTACTGTGAAGGAGGAGGATGGGGGAGGCAAGTGCTTCTTAGTTGAACGACAAGGTTTTTAGTGCACATTTCAAGGGTCACATTTAAAGAGAACGTGTCATAAAGGTTTTGTCTGTCACAGCCAAGGCTCTCATCTGAAGCTGGAGGCTACTATTGTGCTACTTGTGGAAGTTGCAGGACGATCATGTCACCGTGTGCTCTGTTACAGAACTAGCGCTGCTTCTGGAAGTCTCTATTACTGGAAGGATGCCACGTCTGTAATAGGAAACAGTTGTCATAACAGGTTCATTTTTAAAGTGAACTGGTCCATTGGCAAAGTAACAGGTTGACTTAAATAGTAGCCATCCTCAGCAGCTTATACCTACCTTCCTTTAGCCCCCTTGCTCACTGCCAGGAGCAATGGGAAATGAGGGGTATCAAGTATGGGGAATGTCATTCGCATCCGCCTCCCCCACTTTACGCACTGGTGTTCGGTGACTGGTCACTCATGGGGCCGTAAGAGGGTTCTCAGATGATTCTAAGCTCCAGTACATGACTCTTGCACAGGACTCGCACCCTTCAATCTCAGGGTGAACAAAGACGCGAGTATGCGCTTCTGGTAGGGCCACCATTAAAAAGAACCTGTTGCTTCCCGGATGGCCAAATTACAGGGTTGCATGGGGTCTGCTCTAGCTGGTGTGCCTCCCTGCTGTTTGCCTATTATTGGGTGAATGCTAGGTGGTTAGGATGTGGTTGATTAATTATGACGGGGCACCTGTCATCACTTTTTAATATCACAACGACACCAATATCTTCCACAGCCCATCATTTCAAAAGCCTATGTCTTCGGGCATTTGTTCACTTCAAACAGGTTTTGCTTTCATGTCTATGGGAATGCAAAACCTGCTTGAAACAGGTCAAATGCAGGTCAGAAGGAGGTCAGCTGCATATCAAACTGGTGCCAGGCTCGTACCATTAACATAAGCCCAAAGCCCATTGCCACAGGTCCTTAGAATGGTTATATATATATATATATAAGGAAGGTAGGGCATAATATCTTAATTTCAATGTACCATAAACATTATATCTAGAAAAGAAAATGAGCAGTGTCTGCTTTCTTTAGGCCCGTGTCAGGCTGTCAGTGAAGCTTTGCCACTGCCAGAATCATTTTTAAAATTCAGCTTATATTATCTAGTAAAGTTGTTCTCTTGCTGTCTGCACCAGCAATATTGTGCTCCCTCTTCGCTGCTTCCCTAGCAATGAAGTTTCAGCAGCATGTTAAGCAGTCGGAGGAGACTTCCACCAGTGATAATAGAATCTTAGAAAAAGAGCACATCTGTGGGTGAACTCCATAAAAGCAAAGCTCATACTGAACCACATTAAAATGTTACAACGCACTTATGTGTTTGACAGGCAACCTTATTCATAGCGTACGGCTAGCCTGACCACTGTCTGCAACGCATGAGGTCTTTGTAAACTGGCTGTAAAAAGAGCCTTGCTTTTAGGGAATTTAACTACAGGCATGTTGGCTACTTTTTTTTACCTGAAGGCAGCGTGGTCCATGCACACTGTATGTTGCTGGCAAGCAAGATCTGTAAGGATAGACTGGCGAACTTTCTTTGGAAATATCTACCTAGCAGTACTGGAACTGAGATTTCAGTGATTCTGCCCCAAAGAGTTGCAGACAACACAGTGGTCCATTTTTGATGCAGATGTTACTTTCTTAGTAAGCAAGTTACTTCTGTGGCAAATTGCTTTCCCAAAGACTACAGGTACACTTGAAACTTAAAAAGTAACAACGCAGGGGTTGTAAAAAGATCCCAAGTAAGAAGTACAGTAGAAAATAAAACTGCACTGGTGACCCTGAACAGTGTGGTGTCACTTAAAAGTCTCTGTGTATAATCTAGACATTTACCAGGTATGGCTGTAGTCTTGACCTGGAACACATTATCAGGACAGGGGTGCCAGCTCTCTGTTATGGCAGCTAGGCCCTCCCTGTTTCCTTGTGCCTGCCACCCCGCAGCAAAGGGCAGCAGGTCCTGATAGAAGCTCCCACTCCTAAAACGGGAGAGGAAAAGAATAGGAAGGGGAGATAGCAGCACTGTACAATAAAATTCCTGGCACCCTTCCAGCTTTTGCAACCATGCCTGCTGCTCATTCACAGCTCCCCTCCCAGCCGCAGGAGTTAAACACCATCTCTGCCAGCCTTGCAGACTGTTTGGAATAGTTGAAATGCTTTGACACTCCGGACTGGATGGCAGGGAGGCAGTTTACAGTGTCATTCATATGCAAAACTGCACCATAAATCCTCTGCCTTGTCTGTGTTGCTGTGGCACCACTAAGCACCCCATCAGCATACAGTACAGTAAAAAAAAAAAAACTCCTGCCATCTTTGTTTGCATTGCAGTGACTCATCAAAAGTCTGCCTTGTACCAACACTGAGAGCATTCTTCTGGCACTGAGCGTCCTCGATTTTTTTTTTTTTTCTTCTTCTGAAAGCTGAGGCTCTGGGCTGGCATGTTCTTCAGGTCTCTAATCAAAGGGTGCTATTCATTGCGCAGAGAGCCTCTGAATGCTAATCTGCATCCGGCCACAGTCATTGACATGCTATGCACTGCTGTGTTGGACATTTTGACTTGCTAAAACCTTGAAATACAAAAACAGAGGCTTTTTCTCGGATGCTGATGTATATATTTTTTTTCTCTCTTTCCTCCCTCGATGCTTCTTAGTGAGCTGGAGAAAAAAAAGTGGGACGCGCTCTCTTCTCTCTCCTCGCGACCGATGTCTGGATACTTGGGACCACTCCGGCGTTTTAAGGTAGGTGAAAAGCTGTCGAGCAAGTTTGCAGTGGTGCGAAGGTTTTCTATGGAGTCGTTAAAGCTCGCATTGCTGTGCCACGGTTTGCAGACATTAGAAGTGGGACATCTAGCCCTCCTCCCTTATCGCATGTCTGTCTCTGTCTCTATTCTCTGTCTGCTTTTCAGGCTGCTTATCAACATGGGGGACACAATAGTTTGACTCGTCCTCCCCCCAGCTCGGACCAGCTATTTCTCGGTGATTTTGAAATCACAGATCTATTCCTTGCTTAGGCTTTAAAGGGGTGCCAGCTTTAGATATTTAAATTGAGCCCAATTCGAGGCGAGCAAGGTAAAAGCAGTGACCCTGCTCTGAAAGGGCAACTACAGTCCTACAAAATTTGTGACCGGTGCAGATATTTTGGCTGGTAGCGATGGGATTTGAGAAGTGCTTTTGCTGTGCTCTCTTGCGCTTTAATGCAGCAAAAGGCAAATCTTATTACAGCACAAGTGTCTAGGCTATTGTCCTTACATACCCTGTCGGGAGGGAATTTGATGCAATACTCTAACACAGGCTGAGGATAGCGGAGTTGTTTTCAGCGACAGATATTAAAGGTTTTTTGAGCTCACTGCATCGTCTTAGATCCCAGACACAGAGGAAAAAGGGAGGGTGGGGGATGCATTAGAGGTTTCATGTCTGACTTGGGGGAAAAAAAAGAAAAAGCATCCTTGCACTTTTCTCAACTCTCCTTTTCAAACCTTTCAGAGAGCACAGATCATAGGATTCTCCGATTAGACCCACAGAGGTGCTGCCCCCCCCCATCCCCCCTCCCTCCCCAGCGGAGTATTAAAAATTTAGAATTCTCAGTTCGCACTGCAGCATGTTCTATAGGCTGTGATGCCCATTCAGTTCATTCCAGCGCCAGCCCATGCCACACAAACAGGAGTGCGCTCGTCTGCCGTCTCGTTTTGCCTCGGATGTCATCGCAAGTCGGGCCGCCGGTTTTGCCTTTGGGTATATAGGAAGCCCCCCCATCCCCAGATTTCTTTTGGAAACCCGTGAAGAAAATCCCGTCATGTAAGTAACGAGATGTTGCGTTCAAGACACAGCCGAGAGCAAGACCTGTCTTCTCTTTGACATCTCTATTGTCACAGTGCTGCGAGTTATTTAACCCCTTCCCAGGCCAGGTTGCAGTTCTCCGGCCAAGCCGCAAGTGGGTTAACCCCTTTCTTGCCTCGGGCAGCTCTCCGTCCCACCTGCCTCAGTCCTTTTTTTATTTTTTTTTGCTCGGCTGCAACTACATCAGTTGGTCAATAAATCAAAAGTTTTTCTCGTTAGGGGAATGTTTACAGGCATGCCAGAGAGAGCGGTAAAAGATTTTATCATCTCTTTTCAGGTTGTAATTACATGCTAGAGAGATGAGATAACTTATTAAAGATTCTTTTTTAATAGCGTTTAGGCATACGGGTCTCCTCTTGTGCAGGGTTTGGTCTATGGGTGGTTCACGGTGGATGCTTGGGGCAGCTGTGTCTAGAGGTAATTTCTAACTGGGGATTGCTATTTTGGTTGATGAGGCACTCTTCTTGAATGCTTATTATTATTATCTGTTATTATTTTGTATGTCTTATTATTGTTCTAATGTGCTTGTAGTTCTCTCATATTCTGTAGTGCTGTACATAGAACACTAAAACAGTCTCATCAGTCTCTGCTTACATTCTAGTGTCCCACCACAGGCACACACCATTATCATACATTTTATTTAGCTCTGAGATATTCAGCAGTGCTGTACAGAGGACAGTGTAGCATTCTCATCAGTCTGCACCAGAAGAGCTTACATTCTAATGTCCCACCACTCTCACATAATTATTATACATTATCTATAGCTCTTACATATTCCACAGTGCTGTACAGAAACACTGCACCATTCACATTACACTCTCATGTCCCACCATAGTCCCACCACGTACTTGATATTAAACATTTACATAACTCTGACTTTAAGTGCTGTACAAAGAATACATTGAACCATGATTGCAAAGGAGCTTGCATTCTAATGTCCTGACTAAAGTCATACTATTATACATTTGTGTACCTCTGACATATTCCACAGGGCTGTACAGAGAACACTGTAGTATTCACATCAATCTCTCCACCAGAGGAGCTTACACTCTAATGTCCCACCAGTCACACACTATTGTTATGAAATATTTATATAGCTCTGACTTCTTTTGAGTGCTGTACTTTAGTCTTTGCACCAAAGGAGCTTACAGTTTAATATCTAATGCCCCCACCACAGTCACACACTATCATTATTATTAATGAGTTATAAAGCTGTGACATATTCAGCGCCACTGAACAGAGAACATTTCCCTCATTACACTATAAAACACACATTAGAGCCAGTATAGTCAGATGCCAATTAACCTACCAGTATGTTTATGCTTTGTGGGAGGAAACTAGAGCAGCTGGAGGAAACTCCATGCAGATAGTGAAATAT